TAGTTAATCTGAACAGGCAGGGGAAAACTTCAAAATGCACTGAATTTTGTTGATAATCGTTGGCATTAATTTCTAAAAAGTTAAATTTACGCATTTTTTCTTTTTTTGTTGATTTTCCAATATAAACAGAAGCACATCAGGGTGTGAGGGAAAAGAAATTTGGTACTAATATCGAAAAAATGTGATACTAACTGTGTAGATTTGTTTTTGACCTCACTGGACAGTGCAATCACTTCTTATTTGCATTATGGTTTATCTCATATCGTAGTACGCTTTTATGCAGAAGGAATTTGGGAGAGGCGTAAAATAAATTCAGGGAGCAATTAGCACCTAAATATGCACCTCTAGAGCAATTTTGATAGACCAGTACCACCAAACAAACTGCATATTTTAACACACAGAAAAATTCAGGCTCCCGTCTTCTTCCAACCTCCTGGTCAGAGATATTCACTGTTTGTATCTTTAAAATTTCTACAACACTTGGATTACAACTGGAGTGAGTGGAGAAGCATTTTTCACATTGCGAAAGAGTATCCTGTCCGGGTGGGAATCATTTCCCAGCTTATTAGCTACCTGAAGAAAAGCACTTTTTGCACTGTGATGTGTACATTTATCCCCTTGGTGAAATCCAGCTTCCATATTCCGAAAAACGCTCTGTTCTGGAAGATAGTGTTCCTAAAATCGCGAGGGAGAGGGGGGCACAGCACTGGAATTTTGCATTTTTTTCTTTTCGAAATCTATTAGAGCAGTGTTATGCACTACTAACATCTTTTAGTTCTCAGCAGCACTATGATTCGACGGCACTTTATGCCGACCGAAAAGCACCAGTGGATGCCTCGGAGACATCGTCGATTTCTTCCGGGACTGAAGGACTGGTAATAGACACCAGGTCGAACAGTCCAACGGGTCCAGATGTGAACCAGGACACCTCCAATTTGCTAGCAGTTTCTGATGGCAAAAAGTCACCTCAACGTTCTTCTAATTGCTGCCCTGCACTGGGAATTTATCGTGAGAACTTGAACGAACTTGTTGCCGTAAATCCGATCACAGCAAGCAACGATCGCACATTAGAGAGGTGCTTTTTTACAAATTGCTTTTTTTTCGTTTATGCACTCTCACGCACCGCATTTATTTTTTTTTTTTCAGTTTTTTAATTAGCTTGTGTTAGTGGGTTTTTTTTATTTCAAATTTTTTTTCAAATTTCCTTAGAAGGCGTATTTTAGACAGGTTTTGGCTTTAAACATGCCTTTTAAACTTCATCTCTACCCACTCCCAGGAACCCGATCCGGCCCTTAATCTTCGCTTGCTCTGTAGTTGGTTCCACATTTCACACCGTCCGATTTCTTCGTCTTGTCGATTCATATTAGCCTCTCTTCCCTTGTACCTCTGCCCGTGTTTCTTTGAGAAATCTTCCTTTCATTAATCGCCGTTTTGATTTTTTATCGTATTTTTTTACAACTCTCTTTTCATTAAATTAAGTGGCTAAAAGTGGTTTACGAAAACCGTCTCCTCTGAGTGGGAGATTCTGTTTTGTCAAATTTTGTTAGCTCAGGTTACACTTTTGGAAACGCTTTACCGCTACATTTTTGGAAATAAAGAAAGCGTTAAATCCTTTAATCTATTTACCTCTTTGTTTCAATTGGAGGATGATGAAAAAGGACCATTTTTTCTCCAAAGAGAGGTTTTTACGTCTTATTTTATGCGATTCTTTTAGCTTTATTAACTTTTTAGGAAAAAAACTGTCATTAAAGTCATCAGGCAAGTATTTTCATGATTAATTTTTCAGGAAAAACAAGCACCACCATCATCATCGTCATCAGGCAACATCGTCGGATTCTGTGAAAAGCACCAAATTGACCGAACATTCGCATAACCCAGAAAATGGTTCAAATCTTTCCGATATAAATGCTTTGCTTGCCTCCGGCAATGCTGCTCTTTTAAGCGCCGCTGTGAACAGTTTCCTGTTGGCCAGTGCAGGTAATTCAGTGCTTTAATTAATTGTAATAATGAATTGCAGCCGCTAGGAGACCGATCATAATCTTAAAACAAGTGGGCCGTCCAAAGAAAACAAAATGTGGAGGGGCCGAAGTCAGAAAGTTAAAACGAAGGGTGGGATAAGATTGTTAAAATAAGTTACGGCCCATTGGTAGGCCGAACCGTAGCATTTAAAACAAGCGGACTGGCCGAAGCAAATAAAATGTGGAACAGGCACAGTGCAATTTCACACTTTCAAAATCACTTGCAATGCAGATAAAAGAACGTTAGGCTCGTCA